CGGAGTTCAGGGTGGGGGTTAGGGGGCGGGGGTGGTGGAGTAAGGGGTCGGGGTGGTCAGGGGAGGAACAGGAGGTTGAATGGGGGCAGGGGTCCCACGGGGGGCAGTCAGGGGTAGGGGCTCTGGAGGCAGTTAGGGGACAGGGAGAAGGGGTGGTTGGATGGGGCAGGGGTTCCCAGGGGGGCATCAGGAATGAGAGGAGGGGTTGGATGGGCCGGCGGGGGTCCGAGGGCGGTCAGGGGACAGGGAATGGGGCTGTGTGGATGGGGCAGGGGTCTCAGAGGGGCCATCGGGGAACTGGGGGGTTGGATGGGGCAGGAGTCCCGAGGAGGGGGGCAGATAGGAGGTGTGTGCTTTTTACACTGTTGACACATGGCATCTTTGACAAAAGATCCTCTACAGCTAACTTTGTACAGCATACATGCTTAGAAGAAGCACGACATTTTTTCATGGAAGATGCTTTAACTACCCAGATATCTGTTGGAAAAGTAGGACAGCAAAGCACAAAATGTCTAACAAGGTCTCTGAATGTATTGAAGATCATATGTTGTTTCAGACGGTGAAGGAAGTAAGCAGGAAGCAACCATTTTAGATTTGATTCAGAATAACAGGAAGGAATTGGTTGCAAATCTGAAGGTAGAAGACAATTTGGGTGAAAGTGATCATGAAATGATAGATTTCATGACTCTACGGAAAGGAAGGAGTGAGAACAGCAGAATGAGGACAATGGACCTCAAACTCAGAGAACTGGTAGGAAGGTCCCATGGGAAGAAAATGTAAAGAAAAAGGATGTTCAGTAGAGGTGGCAGTTTCTCAGAGAGACAATATTAAATGCACAGCACCAAACTATCCAGATGTGAAGGAAAGACAGCAAGAAATAGTAAAAGGCCAATATGACCTGAAAAATGAAAAAAGAATCATACAAAAAGTGGAAATGTGAACAAATTGCTAAGGATGAGAACAAAAGAGTAGTATAAGCAGGTGGGGATAAAATCAGAAAGGCTAAGGCACCAAATGAGTTACACCTAAAATGGGACATAAAAGCAGGGTGGATTTTAAGAAAAGATTTTTAAATATTATTTAAATTATAAGAAGTTTTCTTTTTATAAACAAACCGGTTAAAAATAAAATCTGAATTTAATACAAAATATGTTAAGGCCAAAATTTATTATAATCTCTTGCAATATTTAAATTAAAGAATTAGTATGCTGAATCCATGAGCCTCCATCAAAAACTTTGAGTTAAAAGCTGCTTTTCTATATAAAGAAAGTATCAGGGGAAAAACATTTAACTTTTGAGGTCAAACTTTATAAATGTGGCACAAGAGTAGCAATTAAGCAATATATCATTCACTATTTTCTAACATACTAAAAATGTACCATTAATAAGAATCTGAAAATATAAAGCTATATAGTTGTTTAAACAAATGCATATAATTATAGTGTACCTTCCTAGATAGCAAAAAAAGAACCAAATCTAGTGTAATGGTTCTATTTAGTTGTAAATCAACATGTTTTAATGGTTATATCAGCCAATGAGAATGCACCTTTCTTTAAAAATACAAATGAAAAAGTTAATTAAAAGGGATTATTTAAATCATGACTTTCCACTTGGTGATTTAGATCAATCCACCCTGCATAAAAAGCAATAAGAAGAGGTTCTATAAATATAGTAGGGAGCAAGAGAAAGACAAGGGAACATGTAGATACACTACTTGGTAGGTGGGGAAGGAGAGCTAATAACAGATGACGGCAAGACATGTTTAATGCCTATTTTGCTTCAGTATTTGCTAAAATGTTACCAGATACTTAACACAATTAATATGAACAAGGGGAAAGGGAAAGAACAGGTTAAAGAGTAAGTTAGATGTATTCAAATTTTCAAAGACTGATGCAATTCACATTAGGGTACTTAAGGAACTAGCTGAAGCAATCTCAAAACCGTTAGCAATTATCTTTGAGAACTCATGGAGGGTAGGTGATGTCCCAGAGGACTGGAGAAGAGCAAACATACTGTTTATCTTTAAAAAGAGGAACAAAGAGGACCCGGGGAGTTACAGTCAGCCTAATTTCAATACTTGGAAAGATACTGGAACAAATTATTAAACATCAATTTGTAAACGTCATTCTAGAGGATAAGAGGGTGATAAAGAATAGCCAACATGAATTTATGAAGAACAAATCATGCCACCTAACATAATCTCTTTCTTTGACATGGTTACTGGCATAGTGGATCAGAGGTGAATCTGTAGACATGACGTATCTTGATTTTAGTAAGGCTTTCGAGACAGTCCTACATGACATTCTCATAAGCAAATTAGAGAAATGTGGTCTAGATGAAATTACTATAAGATGGGTGCAATACTGGTTAAAAGAGTGTGATGAAGTGGGAATTTTTCATAATATTTTGGATGAATATTGTGGGTGTCTCAGTTTCCCCTATGTACTGCATGATTAACTAGCTGGTGGGAAAAGGTGGTTTACTTTTTGTAGCGATACAGGTATGACTGTTCCCTGGCTATCTGGGGTCTGGCGGCTGGGCCCCATACCCATGCAAAGTTTCAGAAGACAATGGCCACTCCGATTGCCCAGACATTTGGTGCCAAGCAACTAATGACATGGGACTGCCAAGTCCCTCTGCAGGAAGCCAGCCAGTTTTGACAAGCTGGAGAAAAAAGAAAAGGTGGACAGCCACGTGATGAGAGGTTTGCCCAGGAAGAAGAACAAAGGGGAGGAAGGGCAGAGGGGATTGTATAAGTGTGGGCTGCTGGCAGCAAGACACACTCTTCTGGACTAGGACTCGAGGGGCGTCAAAGAGAGCTTGGGGCTCAGGACTGACCGAGATGGAATATTCTGTAACTCTCTATGTTAACCAAGGACTTTCTACGCTGTGTTCCTAATAAACCTTTCTGATTTTTACAACGCTGTCTGAGATTCACTCCAGATTAAAACAACGAGGAGTCCTTGTGGCACCTTAGAGACTAACAAATTTATCTGGGCATAAGCTTTCATGGGCTAGAACCCACTTCATCAGATGCGTGGAGTGGAAATACAGTAGCAGGTATATTTATACATAGTACATGAAAAGATGGGAGTTGCCTTACCAGGTGGGGGGTCAGTCTAACGAGACTAAATATACCTGCTACTGTATTTTCCAATCCATGCATCTGATGACGTGTGTTCTAGACTACAAAAGCTTATGCTCAAATAAATTTGTTAGTCTTTAAGGTGCCACAAGGACTCCTCATTGTTTTTGCTAATACAGACTAACACGGCTACCACTCTGAAACCCGACTCCAGATCAGGGGTAGGCAACCTATGGCATGCATGCCAAAGGCGGCACGCGAGCTCATTTTCCATGGCACTCACACTGCCCAGGTCCTGGCCACTGGTCCGGGGGGCTCTGCATTTTAATTTAATTTTAAATGAAACTTCTTAAACATTTTAAAAACCTTATTTACTTTACATACAACAATAGTTTAGTTATATATTATAGACTTAGAGAACAAGACCTTCTAAAAACATTAAAATGTATTACTGGCACGCAAAACCTTAAATTAGAGTGAATAAATGAAGACTCAGCACACCACTTCTGAAAGGTTGCTGACCCCTGCTCCAGATTAAGGAAATTAGGGGTGCATTGATCCCTTTGGGTGTGCAAGCCTTCCCCAGGTGTCCAATTCAAATGGACTCACTAAGGGGAGCTCACAGAGTTAAGCAGGGGTGCTGAAGGCTCAGAGGTTCGGTCCCAGGAGGCAGAGAATCGATGGGGCTTACCCCAGTGAGAGAATGTAACCCAAAGGGGGATAACACATTGAAGGGGTCTTCTTGGGGACTCTTCCAGAACTGTGCGAGAGCACCAGACCTGTGGATTCTGTGACAAAGATTATTCTTAAAGAGCAGTTATTAAGGGTTTGTCATCATACTGAGTGGACCTATCCAGTAGGGTTCCACACGGATTGGTCCTGGGTATGAAAGTATTCCATATTTTCATTTATGACTTGAATAATGAAGTGGAGAATATGTTTATCAAATAAGTGGATGACACCAAGCTGAAGGGATTATAAGCACTTTGGATGACAAGGTTGGAATTCAAAATGAGCTTGACAAATTGAAGAATTGGTCTGAAATCAACAAAATGCAATTCAATAAAGACAAGGGCATAGTACTAAAATTAGGAAGGAAAAATCAAATGTGCAGCTACAAAATGGGGAGTAACTGGCTAGGCAGTAGTAGTGCTGAAAAGGATCTGGGGGTTATAGTGGCTCACAAATTGAATACGAGTCAACAATGTGATGCAGTTGCGAGAAAAGCTAATATGATTCTGGAGTCTGTTAACAGGAGTGACAAATGTAAGGCACAGGAGGGAACTGTCCCGATCTGCTCAGCGCTGGTGAGGCCCAAACAGGAGATCTGTGTCCAATTCTGGGCACTACAATTTAAGAAAGATGTGGACAAATTAGAAAGAGTCCAGAGGACAGCAACAAATATGATGAAAAGTTTAGAAAACCTGATCTATAAGGAAAAGTTAAAAAAACTCGGCATATTTAGACTTCAGAAAACAAGACTGAGGGAGGACTTTAAGATAAGACTCTTCAAATATATTAAGGGCTATTAGGGCCGGCTCTGGCTTTTTGGCCACCCCAAGCAAAAATAAAACGGGGCGGCCAGAACGGCAAAGCAAAAAAAAAAAAAAACCTAGCAGTGCGGCTGGAGCGCGGATGCAGGGGGACCAGCTAGCGGTGGGGGGGGAGAGGGGGAGGGAGCGGGCGGGAGAGAGAGAGAAGGGGGGCAGCCAGGGCTACAGCAGGCCGTGCCGCCTGCCGGGAGGGCTCCGCTCCGGTTGGCGGGGAGGGAAGGACAAGGACTGCCCTGCCACGCTTGCTGCAGGGTGCTCCCGTCCTCCGCGCCGCCGCCCCCTACAGGGCGGCCGGAGCGGAACGAAAAAAAAAAGCGGCCGTGCCGCCCTAGGATTGGGCGGAATGCCGCCTCATTCAATTTGCCGCCCCAAGCACCAGCTTGCTCGGCTGGTGCCTGGAGCCGGCCCTGAGGGCTATTATAAGAAGGAGGGTGATCAATTGTTCTCCGTGTCCACTGAATGCAGGACAAGAAGTAATGGTTTTAATCTGCAGCAATGGAGATTTAGGTTAGGATATTCGGAAAACCTTTCTAACTATAAGGACAGTTAAGCTCTGGAATAGGCTTCTCAGGGAGGTTATAGAATCCCCATCACTGGAGGTTTTTAAGCACAGGTTAGATAAACACCTGTCAGGGATGATCTCCGTATATTTAGTCCTGCCTCAGTGCAGGGAAATAGACTAGGTGACTTCTTGAGATCCCCTCCAGCCCCATATTTCTATAATTCTATGCTGAGATGCACAGGGTTTTCTAAACGTATCAAATACTTTTATGTTTGCCACACTGTACCTATGCCGCTCTGGGAACTGGCCAGATAAGTAACTAGCTGCTTAATCATGGTCTGTAATCCTCTGGAATGTCACTTTAAGTCTCTGCCATGTGGCTAAGAATAAGCATAGCTCTTCATGAAGCTTATTTTGGTTCAGACATAAATAACTCATTTATATTTGATCTGTTCTGAAATCATTTTGTACTTATCCCCAGATTGTCAGGTGTTCAGACACTATCATGGAAATCATAGAATAACAGGGTTAGAAGGGACCTCAGGAGGTCATCTAGTCCAACCCCCTGCTTGAAGCAGGACCAATCCCCAGACAGATTTTTGACCCAGATCCCTAAATCGCCCCCTCAAGGATTGAACTCACAACCCTGGGTTTAGCAGGCCAATGCTCAAACCACTGAGCTTTCCCTCCGCCCCCCGATGGTCATAGGTGCCATATTAGTACCTAAGATACACAGATGAGCATCTGAGCAACACATAAGTCTGTCTACTCTAGCACCATCTAGTTAATTTCTAAAGTAACTCACATCACCACAGTATTTGGTGGCCACAGATCATTATAGTGATATATTACAACAGTTAACTTACTCAGTTGTCCATGTAATCTTTCTCCATGGAGATTCCAGGAAACTGCTAATATCTAGGGGAAAGGAACGTATAACATTAAGAGTATGAAGCTATAATTTCCTCAGTAAACATTTTCTCTTTTGATATCAACTTACCTTCAACTCGATACACCTCACATTCTATAAGGCCTAGATCATTTCCAAGCAGATCAGCAACATTGTATGTGTAGTTGTTGTTAGAACTTGCTGCTGCTGCTGCAGCATTTTGGTTCAACAACTGCAGTGCTCCACCTCCAAAATTAGGGCCAACGGAACTATAGTCATATATAGCACCTGATGCAGTTTTAACAGGAATTTTTAGTGGGCTGAGCACACCCTCTTTGCCTTTTAATCTAAAGAGAAAAGCCTTCTCATCATTTATGTACCCTCCAGATGAAACATAGCTCTGACATGTAAAGCCTCCAAAAATATAACCACTTCCATTATATGCTACTGCTACAGTTGGTCCTTGTGCATCACACTTGGCATGAAATATAGCAGCATTGTAACCATGGACGCTTGCTTTATAGAGAAGAGAGAATTGTCTGCTCCCCAACAGATGTTGCAGTTGCTTTACTTCATCTTGTGTTAATCTAGATTTGACACCAGCCATTCTTCTTAATCTAAAAAGACAGAAAAGATGTTACAAATACAAGTATAACAATAAGAAAAATGTATTATTATTTTTAACTCATCTCACTAAAGATGGAAGACAGTAGTGAAGGCCTTTGTTCCCCATGGAATAGTAAATCATTATCATCATCATTATTAGTTTTATTCCATGAGTATCTAGACGTTCCAACTGAGGACATGTGTATTGTGCCTAACATTGTGTTAGGAACTATCCAAACACATAGTTAGACACAGTCCCTAACCCAAAAAGCCTACTGTCAAAATAAACAAGACAGACAAATAGTGGTCGAAAGATGTTTTTATCACCATTAACAGATGTGGGAAATGAAGCAGGGAGGGCCAGCTAGTATAAATAAGCATAGCTTCATGGACTTCACAGCAAAATACTTTTTCTGCCTGAATGGAGACAAAATATTCTTAAAACGTATGGCCCAATTTTGTTGCCTTTACTCAGGCAAAACTCCTATTGACTTCAATGCAAATCAGGACCATTTTATCTAGATGGTGAAACCTTTCATACTGTAACCTGATTCTAATCTTACTTAGACTGGATAACTCCACAGACTTCACTGATTTATGGTGGTGTAAATGAGAGAAAATACATATTTACTGTCTCAAAAATATAATTCCCAGTTTATGGAGTGAATCTTTTTCTATTTCCAATAACAAAAGAATGGCATACTGGGTAAGACTAATGGTCCATCTAGCCCGGTATCCTGTCTTCTGACAGTAACCAGTGCAAGATGCTTCAGACAGAATGAATAGAACAGGGCAATTTTGAGTGATACATCCCCTATCGTCCAGTCCCAGCTTCTGACAGTTGGAGCTTTACAGACACCCAGAGCATAGGTTTGCATCCCTGACCATCTTCGATAATACTCATTGATGGACCTATCCTCCATGAATTTATTTAATTCTTTTTTGAATCCAGTTATATCTGTGGTCTTCACAACATCTTCTGGCAACAAGTTCCAGAGGCTGACACTGCATTGTGTGAAGGCGTACTTCTTTTTGTTTGTTTTAAACCTGTTGCCTATTAATTTCATTAGGTGATCCCCTAGTTCTTGTGTTATATGTTATAACACTTTCGTAGTCACTTTTTCCATACCATTCATGATTTTATAGAACTCTATCATACTCCCCCTTAGTCATCTCTTTTCTAAATAAAACAGTATGAAAGTTGTTCCACACCCCTAATCATTTTTGTTGTCCTTCTCTGCACCTTTTCCAATACTATTATATCTTTTTAGAGATGGGATGATCAGAACTTTACACAGTATTCAAAATGATTAAAAGTCTAGAAAACATGACCTATGAGGGAAGATTGAAAAAATTGGGTTAGTTTTCTCTTCTCCAGACTAAACAGAGAGGGGACATGATAACAGTTTTCAAGTACATAAAAGGTTGTTACAAGGAGGAGGGAGAAAAATTGTTCTTCTTAACCTCTGAGGATAGGACAAGAAGCAATGGGCTTAAATTGTAGCAAGGGTGGTTTAGGTTGGACATTAGGAAAAACATCCTGTCAGAGTGGTTAAGCACCGTAATAAATTGCCTAGGGAGGTTTTGGAATCTCCATCATTGGGGATTTTTAAGATAAGGTTAGACAAACACCTGTCAGAGATGGTCTAGATAATACTTAGTCCTGCCTTGGGTGCAGGGGTCTGGACTAGATGACCTCTTGAGGTCCCTTCCAGTTCTATGATTCTATGTGGGTGTATCATGTATGTTTATAATGGCACTATAATATTTTCTGTTTTATTATCTATCCCTTTCCTAATGGTCCTTAACATTGTTAGCTTTTTTGACTGCCGCTGCACATTGAGTGGATGTTTTCAGAGAACTATCCACAAGGACTCCAATTTTTCTTTCTTGAGTGGTACAAGCTAATTTAGATCCCATCATTTTGTATGCATAGTTGGGATTTTTTTTCCCCAATATGCATTACTTTGTACTTATCAACATTGAATTTCATCTGCTATTTTGTTGCCCAGTCACCCAGTTTTCCCTTTGTAACATTTTGCAGTCAGCTTTGGACTTAACTATCTTGAGTAATTTTGTATCATCTGCAAATTTTGCCACCTCACTGTTTTACCCCTTTTTCCAGATCATTTATGAATATGTTGAATAGTACTAGTCCCAGTACAGACCCCTGGGGGGACCCCACTATTTACCTCTCTCCATTCTGAAAACTGACCATTTATTCCTACTCTTTGTTTCCTATCTTTTAACCAGTTACCAATCCATGAGAGGACCTTCACTCTTATCCCAGGACTGCTTAGTTTGCTTAAGAGCCTTTGGTGAGGGACCTTGTCAAAGGATTTCTGAAAGACCAAGTACACTATATCCACAGGATCACCCTTGTCCAAATGCTTGTTGACACCCTTAAATAATTCTAATATAATGGCCTTTACAAAAGCCATGTTGACTCTTCAGCAATATATCATGTTGATCTGTGTCTGATAATTCTGTTTAGTATAGTTTCAACCAATTTGCCTGGTAATGAAACTGTTTGAAATGGGCCACTCTCATTACCACTACAAAAGTGATTTTTCCTCCCTTGGTATCCTACTGTTAATTGAATTGTCTCAGACTGACCTCCCACTTGGTAAGGCAACTCCCATCTTTTCATGTGCTGTGTATTTATACCTGCTACTGTATTTTCCACTCCATGAATCTGGTAAAGTGGGTTCTAGCCCACGAAAGCTTATGCCCAAATAAATTTGTTAGTCTCCAAGGTGCCACAAGGACTCCTTGTTGCATTAACTACTGGTAATGAAGTTAGGCTTACCAGCCTGTAATTGCCAGGGTCGCCTCTAGAGCCCTTTTTAAAAATCAATATTAAATTAGCTACCCTCCAGTCACCTCACCTGGTACAGCAGCTGAATTAAGCGATAGGTTATATGCCACAGTTAACAGTTCTGCAATTTTATATATGAAACTCTTGGGTGAATATCATCTGGTTGTGGTGACTTATTAACTGTTCAATTTATCAATTTGTTCCAAAACCTCCTCTGCTGCCACACCACCTCCTGAGATAGTTCCTCGGATTTGTCACCTAAAAAGAATAGCTCAGGTGTGGGGATTTCCCCAATATACTCTATAAAGAATTAATTTAGCTTCTCTGCAATGGCCTTATCTTCCTTGAGTGCTCCTTTAGCACCTTGATTGTCCAATGGCACCGTTTAGCAGGTTTCTGATGTATTAAAAAAATGCTGTTGGTTTTTATGTCTTCACTAGTTGTTCTTCAATTTCTTTCTTGGCCTGCCTTATTGTATTTCTACACTTGTCTTGCCAAAGTTTATCCTCCTTTCTATTTTCCTCACTAGAATTTGACTTCCAATTTCTAAAGGATGCCTTTTTGCCTCTAACCACCTCTTTTACTCTGCAGTCTAGTCTCAGTGGAACTTTACTGCTTTTCTTTTCTTTTTTTAATTTGGGGTGTGCATTCCGTTTGAGCCTCTATTATGCTGTTTTTAAATAGTCTCCATGCAATTTGCAGGCAATTCACCCTTGTGACTGTTCCTTTTAATTTCCATTTAACTAGCTTCCTCATTTTTGTGGTTTCACTTTTTGAAGTTAAAGGCTACTGTGGTGGGTTTCTTTGGCATTTTCCCCCTGCAATGATGTTAAATTTAACATTATGGTCACTGTGAGTGGTTCATCTACATTCACCTCTTGGACCAGATCCCATGTTCCACTTAGGACTAAATCCAGTATTGCCTCTCCCCTGTGGGTTCCAGGACAAGTTGCTCCAAGATGCAGTCATTTATGGTGCCTAAAAATTTTACCTCTGCATCCCTTCCTGAGGCGACATATACCAGTCAATAGGAGGACAGTTGAAAAAACCCATTATTAATGTGTTTTCTGCCTTTGTCGCCTTTCTCTCAATATTTCACAATCATTGTTACTATCCCAGTCATACTCCTACACTCTTCCATCCATCTTCAAGGATGGAATTACTGTCCATAGAGATTCTATGGTACAGTTTGATTCATTTAAGATTTTTATTTTGACGCTATGCTTTCTTTCACAACATAGTGGCACTACCCCAACAAATGAGCTACTCTGTCATTCCTATATATTTTGCACCCTGGCCAGTTAATGACCAGTTGAAAGCACAGAGCCAGTCCTGTAAATCATAACCTGAAAGCTACTTGTATGAGCAAAGTGCATGGGGTTTATTGTCTGCATAACCACACAAGATTAGTTTAATAATTCTGAAGGTTATGTTGCAAGTAGAAAGAAAGAATTAACAAACACATCAATGTTATTTGTGTTTTCACCTTGCCACGTTTCATTTCTTCTTTCACTGCATTGTTTGTATGGACTGACACAGAGGCTAACACACCTCTAAAAATTGTTCTTTTTTAAGTTCTCTTAACATTTTCCAAGAGGGATGGTTGTTTTTTTTCTATACTGACTGCTCTGCCAGAAGAAATCTTTGTGT